TGGGTATGAGACCTGTGAAAGGCTCTGAATTCTGTGCTCAGAAGGGACCTGTACTGGTTTAATATCCTCCTTTTATCTCTTGAAATTCTTTATTTTAGGCCCTTCAAATTATGTAGCTGGTCATGGAGAGGGCTTTGCAAACCAAACAACATTGCAAGACCGCACAGTGGGTTGCTGTTGTAATCATAACAACACACACGTTCACATTCTGTAAAGGATATATGTGTGAAGGGGGCTTTTCTGCAAGGCTGGGACGTTGAGGCAGCACAGAATTCGTCTCTCACTTACTGTATCCTCTTCCTGGGTTTAAGGATATTAAACCCAGGTGCCCCAAAATCTTCAGAGCACTCGGCCTCCATGCCGATGGTGCAGACTCTGCTCTAATTCTGCACTTGGCCAGACATGGCTATGCAAACTGCAGTGTGTCTCTTCCTACTCTGGGTGCCACCTCACTGACCCGCGTAAGGAGGGACTGTGACTGGTCCCCAGGCAAGCGCTTTCCCTGCCACCTGCACCTGTTGCAAGCCAGCTCCTGGGAACCAGGCCAAGCAGCTCTGCCCCTAGCGGGAGTCGGAGGCATGAAACTCCCTTTTAGGAAGACCCGGTAAGAAGCACCGCCACCTGCTCCTGCTGCCTGTGCTGGCCTCAGCTTCTGGGAGCATCTTAGCAGCCAGCCCCGGGTGAGGACAGGGTCCACCGGTGCACCTGGCAGAGCAGGGTAGATGCTGTGACTTGGGGGCTTCAGGGGAACAGGGTGGGGCTCCTCATTGGGAAAAATCTTTAGGTTTGGATCCAGCCTTTATTTAAAGAGGGGGATTGTGTATAGACTTGTGTGACTGTTCAGCGTCTTTCCACCTCGGTGTGTGTGTGTGTGTGTGTGAGAGAGAGAGAGAGAGAGAAAGAACCTGTGGGTCGATTGCCCAGTGTGCCCCTCTATCCGAGAGTGTGTCTGTTAGTAGGCACCCGTGTGTGGCATTGCTTCTGTGGGTGACTATGTCAAGGCGTGGGTCTGTCACTGTGTGCGGTGTGGAGCAGTATGATAAGCCGGTGGCCGACCCCTGAGTGTGTAGACACGGGAGCTGGTGTCAGGGTGTTTGTAGGGCTGCGGTTCTGTGTAGGTTTGTCTCAGATTGTGTGAGAGTGTGGGTGTTCCAGCAGGTGCTTGTTTCTGAGTGTGAATGTGTGTGAAGCTGTGACCGTCTGTCTCTAGCTCTGCATGGGACGGTGATCCGGTGTGTGTGTGTATGTGTGTGTGCGTGTGTGTGTATTAGAGTGCTACAAACTGTGTGGCTGTGTGTGTACGTGTGCGCGCCTGTCACGGCGGCCCAGTCTGCTTCTGGGTGAGTGGGGCAGAGCCCCGAGAGTGTGTGTCTGAGTGTGGGTGTCGGTGTCTCTGTCTGGGAAGCAGTGGTTCGGGATGTGTGTGTCAGGCAGTGTGCGGCTGTCGCTGTGAGTCTGCATCGGAGTGAGAGTGGCGGCGTGCTCCTCTGCGCGGCAGTGCCCCGTGTGTTTGTGGGTCTGTGTCTGGGTGTGAGTGTCATGGTGCGTGTGTTAGAGCCCCTGGGGCTCCGATGAAAGGCTGTGGCTCTGGGTGACTGGTGTGTGTGTGTGTGTGCGTGTGCGTGTGCGTGTGTGTATTAGAGTGGGTGGCGGCGTCTCTGCTCGGTAGTGGCGCGTGTGGTCCGCCCCGCGCGCGTGTCTCGCGGGCCGGGGCAGGGCGTGGGCCCCCTCCCGCGAAGCCGCGACCCCTCCCCCGGGCGGCGGGCGGTGCGCACCGGCGCCTCTAGGACCCGGCGGCGGCCGGCCGCTGTCCCCGGGCAGCGCGAGTGAGCATGTGCAGAGCCCGGCGCCCGCCGCCGCCCGCGCCCAGCCGTCGCCGCCTGCACCCGGCTCCGCGCCCGCCAGCCGCCCCGCCGCTCAGCGGACGCCAGCAAGCCCCGGGGAACCAGGCGGCGGCGCCCTGTGCTCCGGCGCGTGGGGTCCGCTCGCCGCGGCGGCCGGGGGCGTGCGGGCGCCGGGGCTCCTGGGCTCCGGGCACTGCGGGGGCTGCGGGCTCGGCGCCCGGGGGAGGCGGGCCGTGGGCGCGGGTGCGGGCGCCCCAGCCGGCCGCGATCGCGGGGTGAGTCCTGTCTCCCGGCGCTCCATCCGGACCCCCGAGCGGGCTGGGAGCAGGGTGTTCCCCCCGCCGCGGGCAAACAAGTTTGTGCGGACGCCGCTGGGAGCGCGGCGGGGCTGCACCTGCTCCGGCTGCCGGGCGGGCTTGCGGGGGACGCCTTCCCGGGGGCCCGGGGTGGCTCGGCCGGGGCAGGGGAGAGTGAGCGGGTGCGTGCGGGGCGCGGGGGGCGCTCGGCGCGGCCGGGATGGGGCGGGGGTGCGCGAGGCGCCGCACGAGCCGCGTCGCCCTCCGGAGTCCTGAGAGCCCGTCCGTTTCCTGGGAGGGCGCGGCGGCTGGGCCCGGGGAGGGGGCGAGGGCAGGGTGTGGGGTGCGCACAGCCTCCCTCCTAGGCGGCGACGTTTACCCAGAAGCAGCTCCCTCTCGTTCCGCTACCAAGAGAGGCTTCCGGTCAGCGGAGGGTTTGCTCCGTCTCTTGGTGAACTTGAACAGAGGCAAAAGCAAAACGTATGTATTTTGTCCGGAAAATTATCCAGTGTAGAGCTTTGTGTCTTCGTAGGTTTGGACGGAGACTCACGACTGGAGGTTGCTAAACTGCGTTTTTCTTGGCTACTCTGGAGCGTACCTGGCTGGGTCCCCTGCGTCCGGGTAACCTCGCTGGTTCTCCTGAGCATTTGTGCTCCTGGGATGATGCCTGCTCTGCTGATCGGGAATGCGGGTGGGGAAGAGCACCGCGCTTCCTTCCGCTGAGCGGTGGGAAGGCTGATATAGGAGTTCTAGCCCCATAGCCCTGCACTGGGATCCAGCTGCTCCCCATACTGGCCCTGACCCTGCAGCTCCCAAGATGGACAGATGCAGGACTCCCCTGTACTTTTCTAACATGAGATACCCGCATCCCTCTTGTTGCTGGAACAGCATGCTTAGGTTTACGGAGGCACTTGGGTGATCCCACTTTGGGATCAGGAGTGGGGGCCTTTCTTTTTTCCTCTGATTTGCCTAGGTTGTCAGGCACAGAAAGGGTGGTGGGGAGTGAAAGTTAGAGGAGGTATAAAGCTGGCTTGCCCTGTGCTATTTGCAATCACCCCCTCCCGGTGGCTGCAGGTGCTGGGGAGAGAGCTAGGGGAGGTTTCCTTGGGCTATGGGAGAATGAGGTTCGTCTCTCTCAAGCATGCTCCCCACCCCCACACACTTAGATTGGCCCTCAGGAGATCCTCCGGGAAGAGGCCTCAGCCGGCCGCCAGAGCCCAGGGTTTCTAGGAGGAAGAGCAGGAGCTCTCCCAGGCACGGGGGCTTGGCGGTGGTTGGGCTGGTGGCTGAGCCTGACTGCCTCATCTTCCCCGCCAGAAGGCCCTCACCTGTGGCTGCATCCGCCATCCCTCAGCAGGGCCATTTCCACAGCTCCTCTGTAAAAATGCCTTATTCTGGGGTGAGGGGATCCTTCTCTTTAGTGGGCATTGTGCTCTATGAGGTACTGTCCTGCGGCCTTTAGCATGTCTGGTTGGACGTGAAGAGAGGCTGGGGTAAGGCAGAAGGCCAGACTCCTATCTCTTCCTTCCGAGCAGAAGTGGATATTCAGGCCCACCAGTGGGTCTGCTGCTGAAGCTTGAGTCTCCAACCTGATAAGTTTAACCAGAGCACTGGGGAGGGAGTCACAGAGCTGGTTCCTTATGGCATCGGCCTGAGCAGGTGACTCAGAGCCTCTGAATCCAGAGCCTCCAGGCCCCGATGGAACCCCTCGAGCAGGGCCTCTTGGGAATTGGTGTTTCTCATCACAGAAGCCCCAAGCTTGTACTCCCATCCGGCTCAGACCCCCATCAGCCTTGGTGAGACCAGCTCCCCGACTCTTTTTCTGGAGGCACAATGAGGTCAAGGCCAAGGACTTTGGGGCAGCTCAGTGTTTAGACCTTCAGGGTCTTCGGCCTTAAAATGCAGGTGATAATCATGTACACTAGCAGGGCCAGAGATGGCCCTAACATCCAGGGCTGCTCATCTAGGGAATGAGGGAGTGAACGTGGCCTTGCGCTCACTACCTTCTCCCTGGGCCTCCTGGGCTGGCCTTCACATTCTTCCTTTAATCTCTCCTCATCATGGCTTTGCTAAGCGTGTTGACATATGTCTGAAAAATTATCGGAAGTGTGCCACTTGGAGAATGTGATCAGGGAGGAACTCTGCATATGTCCTGCCTCCTGGTGTGGATGTGAGAAGTGGATGGAAGAATGGGCTGGATTAATTTCATCAGCTATAAAATACAGCGCACCTGCTGGTAGCTGTTAAGGCCCCTCCCCTCCACTTCGCTTCCCTTCCTTTGCTACTGAAAGCCCCTGGAGATGTGAGCTCCCTCCCGGAGGGTGGCTCCCTTGACATGAGGGGGTCATGAGTATTCTGAGGACAGGGATGTGCAGCAGGGTGTGTTGGGCTCTCTCCCGTAGCCTGAGTCCCCCGTCCCGTTGGCAGGTCTGACTCTGGTTGGGCATTCCACTCATTTGTCCACCTGTATCCAACTCACTCAGTGGGGTTTGAACACCTGTTTGCCTTCCAGGTTCTCAGATGGACTTGAGACGACCCTTAAGCTTTCAGCACCAGGTGGAAGAAACACATGAGCAAGTGAACAAAATAAGGTTCTATAAAAGAGATAGCTCAGGCCAGGCGTGGTGGCTCACACCTGTAATCCTGATGTTTTGGGAGGCCGAGGTGGGCAGATCCCCTGAGGTCAGGAGTTCGAGACCAGCCTGGTCAACATGGCAAAACCCCATCTCTACTAAAAGTAGAGAGATTAGCCAGGTGAGGTGGTGTGCGCCTGTAATCCCAGCTACTAGGGAGGCTGAGGCAGGAGAATCGCTTGAAACCGGGAGGTGGAGGTTGCGGTGAACCAAGATCATGCCACTACATTCTAGCCTGGGTGACAGAGCGAGACTCCATCTTGAAAAATGAATAAAAATAAATAAAAATAAAAGAGATAGGCTGGAAAAGGTTGAGACTGGCTGTTTCAAAAGTGAGAAAGGCTGCAAATCAGGTGCCAGGAAAGGAAAAATGCCGGCTCCCGCGCTGGCGCTCTGTCTTTCTGCGTGGACCCAGCCCCCAGCACGGTGTTTGGGAGGATCTCTGTCCTTGGTATTACACATGTGAAGATCATGTGATATGGTTGATGATGATATGCACTTGGAATCAGAGCGATTTAGTGATAGCTGTTTGGATTTGTTCAGGTTAATTGGCCTTCTCTGTCTCAGATTCTGCATCTGTATGATGGGGATGGTAATGATTTTGGCCTCACAGATGTGTGGGGAGATCACTCATTCATTTTTCCATCTGACCATTCATCCAATGCACTTGACAGTTGGTGAAAGTACCTTGAACTCTAATACGGTAGGTTAAAGTTTTTATTTATATGAACCCCAGCAGTGGGTTAACTGAAGGGGCTTTCCTCTTTTGCATGGAATGGAGTTCTGACCTATTATGTTTTATACCCTTTTAGCAACATATTAAAATGTTGAATCTTTTTTCAAGCTCTGAAGTTCAAACTCTTAAGAGATTTCTTGTCTCATCAAAGACAAGGATCCCACTCCATTTGCATTTCCCAGACCTTGATCCCCCAAAGGACCCAGCAGATTTTTGTTTAGTGGGTCTCTTGCTCTTTTTCTCAGTCTCTGAGACCTGTGAGTAATGGCAGCATAGCCCTGAGCACTGAAGGATGTCCAGTCCAGCAGGTACTTATTTTCAGGGGCATTCCCTGTGCCCCACCCAGAGGTGGGCAGAGGCACTGACTGTGCCTTTAAGAGGCCCTCAGGCTGGAAGGAGAGGTAGGGACATTAGCAGGGAATCCTGACTCAAGACCACACACCACCCAGGCACACTTGGTAGCAGCCTCCAGCCTCGTTGCTTAGTGCCTAGCACTGAGGAGTGGTTCTGCTCCAGACACCAGGGAGGCTTTGTGGAAGAGGTGGCATGGGAGCTGAAACTTGATGGCCTGGAGCATTTCAGAGCCATAAGATGGGGCACAAGCGTCCCTGGCTGGTGGAAGGGCATGCGTGAGAGTGCTTGAGGCATCTCTCGCTAACCAGGTGATGCCCTGGTGGGATACAGGGCTGGCTTGTATATCCCTGGGAAGCCATTACAGGCTGTAGCATCATTAGCTCCTCATAGTAGAAAGATCACTTGCTTAGATGAAAAGGGACAGCCTTTTGGAGAGGGAATGGGGTCCAGAAGCCAGGCACTATGCCCGAGCGGGGCAGGGGCAGGGGCAAGGGGAAAGTCACAGGAGGGGAATCCAGGAGCTGTGAGTCCAGCTGGAGGCTCCTGCATGTACTCTGCCCAGGTCCTGAAGCTGAGACCCCCCTGGCTGCCAGTCATTGAGGCTGAGGCTTCGAGCTTCTAGGACCCAGACACCCATCACCTTCATATCTGGAGAGCGACATTCTGGGCCCTATTCTCGTCATTAGGGCTCCTGCCCTGCAAAAAGCAGGCAGCTCCAAGTCCCAAGAGATTTGCAGCCCTTACTGCCTCTGCCACAGTAGCTGAGATCCTTCTGGGGATGTCTGGTGTCATTTTCCCTTCAGCTGCCATGGCCTGTTCTCTCTGACCGGGGGTCGCAGGGAGGTGGAGTCACCTGACTGAACCCCAGTGGCCACTGGCTGCACCTGGGCCAGCTCCGAGTTCTATCCTGCAGCCCCTACCCCCAGGGACTGCCTCCTCTCCTCTCCCTGCTGCCACCCCTCGGTCTCTGGACCCCTAGCCTGGCTGAGAGGTGGCCACCTGACCAGCCCGAGCCAGGCTGGGCAACTGCCACTCCCTCGGTCCCAGATGGCAACAAAGTAATAGACAAAAGCTCAGGTTGTCTGAGTCTCCAGGTGCTCTGGACTCCTGCTCCCTTCCTGAGACTTCCAGAAGCCCCTTTGTTCCGTTAGTCTCCTCTCATGCTTGACAGGGAACTCAGGATCTCCCTCTGCAGGCCCTGCTCTTCTCTAGGGTGACCCCAGGGCAGGGCAGTGAGTGTGCACCTTTGTCCAGCCCTGGTGTGCCTCCTCTACCCACAATAGGGCCAAGCCCCAGGCAGGGATAGAACCCCCCACCCCCCCGGCCCCAGCCTTGCCCTGAAGCACTCTGCAGGGTTCCAAGATGGGAGGTGCCCACGGGAAGCGCACGTTGGGGAAAAATTCCCCAGACTTTCAGAGGGGAAGGGCCCCAGGCTGCCTGCCAGTCTCAGTGGGCTGGGGCGTGAACACTCACCAACAAGGCACTGTCTGGAAGGCTTGGCTGGGGATACCCCATGTGGGGCATCATCTCTAGGAGCTTTGGCCCGGCATGACCTCAAGAAGGTGCTGACGGAGGTGCACTAAACTCCTCTCGAGAATACATCTTGCCTCGTGTGAAGCCGGAGCTGGGAAGGGGAGAGAAATAGGAAGCTTAGTGGGCATAATGGAGGCTCTGGGAGCAGGTGGTCTGGTCTGAGTGCTGGCCCTGATCTGTCTGGCTTTGGGCAGTGTACATCACCTGGCTCAGCTTCAGAGACCTCAGTGCTCAAATGGGGTATACAGGGCATTGCTTGGTGGGTTGCCTGGAGGAAATGAGATGGTGGATGGTGCAGGTACAGCCCAGTTCAACCTATTCACACTGCAAATGCTTCATAAATGGTGGCATTGACAAAGCAATTGCTAACAGCAGTCTCAGCATGCGGATCAGCTGCGAGCAAGAGTGGGATCCTGGGTGCACTCCAGGAACTGTGGGGGCTCAGAGCTGGGGAGAGGCCTCTCGAGTCTGACTTCACCAGTGGCACAACTACTACAGGCCCATCCTCCGGCTTTTCCTTGCTTGCCTCTTTTGCATTCATAACCAAGCCATGCCGCAGTCTGTAGGGAACAGAGCCACAGCGGATTCATGTCCACTCCCTAATTTGATCCCGTAAAGCACGTTCACCCCCATTGAACAGACGATGAGCCTGAGGCCCTGCCCTGTGCAATGCTTTGCTCGAGGTAGGTTTACTGTCATGGACAGCCTTCTGGCTTTCGGGTGTAGTGGGTATAGCTGATGGCCTCCCAGGCCCTATGCAGACGAGCAATGGCTAGGATTCTGTCCCTGACCCCAGGTGTTGGCCGGTTCTGCTCTCTGACTTACCTCATGGCTTGGCTGTGAGCCCTTGTGCAGATGCTCCAAGTTTCCCAGCCCACCCCCAGGCCTCTCGTGGGTTCAGTCACTCAATAAACATTTACCATCACTGCCCTGCTAGCTGTGGGCTGGGATCTTGGAACATGTATAAACCAGGTGTGATCTCTGCCCTGGAGCGGGGCTGCCAGCCTTGAGGAGAGAGAGTGTCATGTTGTGATGTTGGCTATAAAGTGTGGTGGAAGTCCAGGGCAGGGTGACAAGTTCCTGATGCTTATTTTTTATTTGTTTATTTTTTTTGAGACAGAATCTTGCTCTGTCAACAGGCTGGAGTGCAATGGCATGATCTTGGCTCACTGCAACCTCCGCCTCCCGGGTTCAAGCGTTTCTCCTGCCTCAGCCTCCCAAGTAACTGGGACTACAGGTGCATGCCACCACGTCCAGCTAATTTTTGTATTTTTAGTAGAGACGGGGTTTCACCATGTTGGCCAGGATGGTCTCCATCTCTTGACCTTGTGATCCGCCCGCCTCGGCCTCCCAAGGTGCTGGGATTACAGGCGTGAGCCACCGCACCCGGTCTTTTGTTTCCCCCTACCAGCCTACCCGCAGTGAGTTTTCCCGGCTAGGAATCTGCTTTGTGATTTTAAAAGTTGGGAGTGCAGCCTGCTTCATAGAAGACCTGGGCCATGGAAATCTGGCCTGCACATGGCTGGCTGTGGTGTCCGCACCAGCACCTACCTCCCCAGTCCAGGGAAGCCTCTTTTGGGAAGGGGGGCACCAGAAAATACTTTGGAGGACCGTGGGATCCTGGGTGAGATGGATTGAATCCTGATTCATCCGCTCTGACCACTCCCTACCCCAGCCCTACTTGTACTGTATATCCAAATCCTATCTAGAAAATCTATACAGAATTCACAGTATACCCTGCCTTCAAAATTCCGAACTGTTGAGCTCCTGCCTGCCTTTCTGCTCCATCTCATCAGAAACCTTCTCACAGCAGGAGTGCTACCCTCTCCCCTTCAGTGGTACAGGATGGATGTGATCCCTAGTTTGTAACCGGAGCCCCTTTGTGAACAGACCTGGAGACCCCTCCTCATAGAATTACATCATAGAAAGGATGACATAAAGCTCAGCCCAGGCACTCTTGTTCACTCCACGCTTCTGAAAGCCCTCAGCTCCATCAGGCTGTGTTCCTGGACTGCCTGGGGGCCTGTGCCCATGCACTGCTCCATCTCTCCCGCGTTTCAGGCTTCATCCATGGCTCTAGGTAAGTGGCATTTGAGATTTCACTGCCCTGACCCCATAGGAGCAGGTTTCTGATGTCAGGATTTACGTATCAATTTATCTGTGGTCTCGTTCGTTTTTAAGATGTATTCATAAATGAAGATCACTGAGCATCCGCACTCCCAGGCCTCATGCTGGGGCTGGGGTTAGGAAAATGACAGAGGCATGGCCTGTAGCCCTAAGTAGATGACAGACTTTGGAGGGTGACTGACAAGTAGATGGACGGTTCTGATCAGCCTCACGATGGCGAGTGCTGGGCTGAGGGTCAGCAGGGGCTGCGGAAAGACTGAGGAATCTTCAGGGAAGCTTTCTCTGAGGAACAATATCTGGCCTGAGCCTTGGAGGACACACAGGGATTTGATAAGTGAAGAGGAAGGAAAAGGCATAAAGGGTAGCTTGTGCAAAGGCACCGAGGCAGATGTGCTGTGGTTCCTGGTGGTTCTGCTGGAACGTGGAGTGTGTGTGCGCATGTCTGCATTTGAGATGGGGAAGCCAAAGAAAGAGACCGGGCAAGAGATGAGGCTGGATGGGCTGGATCACGAAGGGGCCCTTGTATGTCATGCCGAGGGGCTTAGCGTTTATCCAGTAGCCACGGGGAGCTATTGAACGGGGTTTTAAGCAGGGGTGCGCCATGATCAGATTTGCGTGTGAGGAGGATCACCTTGGCAGCCTTGTGGAAGATGGATCGGAGGGTTCAAAGCTGGAGGCAGAGAGATCAGCCAGGATTTCTTGGGATTTTCTCTGAGGTTTTACAAATCTGATGAGGCTGTCTGGGGTGGGCCTGGCAAATACGTCAGCCTAGAAAATAGAAGCTCTGGAGAACCGTCTGCAATTTCCAAACCCAGAATTTAATTCCACCGTCATTTGCTGATTACTGAGTCTGCTACCTCTGCCCCAGCCTAAAGGACCAGCTGACCCATATTTCCACATCTCTGCCCTCCCCAAGGGCCTCAGAACCTGGCGGCCCTCACCGTTTAATCAGAGAGGCTCATGCCTATCTGGGATCTTTGTCCCAAGCCTCCAAGCTTTCTGGGGGCCTGGAATGCCAGCTCAAACATTGTCCTTCCTCTCACACCCGTTGTCTATCCCTGGTGCACAGAGCAGCCATTGAGTGGCTGCACAGGCCTGGCGGGGGGCCCGGGCCAAGTTAGTTACGGGCAGTGGCTTAGTCACGCTTCTGGGGGCCTTTTTTTCTGGGATAAGCCTGTCCTTGTGCTAAGGGCTTCGCTCACACAGCAGCCCAGGTCGTTGCAGCTGCAGAACCCTCTGCCAACCCCAACAGCATGCTTCAGAGGTGCCGCCAATGGGAACCGAAACCCAGAGCGACAGCTGAGTCCTGGGGAGCGGAGAGACCCACGGAAGGCAGATCAGAGAGCCTTCCGCCTTCTCTGCTCCGGGTGCTCGGCCTCTGTTTGCAGGTGCACGGCTCAGGCGCTACCCTGGTCCTTTGATTCTGGCCTCTGGAGTCCAGGAGGCCTGGGAAGGCTACGCAATCCCCTCCCTCCCCTGGGCCCCATCCTGTGTAAAAGCCAATGACCAGCCTGTGCAGAAGCTCCTTCCAACCCCGGGCCCACAGTTCCAGTGCACCGCTGGGAGTCAGCTGATTGCATGCATACACCAAGCACCTGCAGCATAGTCCTGCCTGGGCTTGGTACATTTATATGTGGTAGTGTCTCATGGCAGGCTGGGCCGTGTAGTCATTGAGAGTCCAGGCTCTGCACACAGACTTTTCCAAACCTTGGCTCTCCTGTTTACCAGCTGTGTGGCTTGGGGAAAGCTAGCTAATATGCCTTCTTTTGCCACAGTTTCCTCATCTGTGAAACAGGGATATGGTATCTCTACCTTGTTGGATTGGTTTCAGGGTTAAGTGAGATAATATGCGAAGTGTTTAGCTGAGTACTTGACACACAGGAAGGGCTGAGGAAAGAGCCCCTGCTGCTATTCCTGCTCCTCCTTATTATTTCTATCATCCTCATTACTCCTCAAGGGGAGAGCTGTTATCCCCATTTTGCAGATGGGGAAGCTGAGGCCCAGCAAGGTTCAGCAACCTACCCAGTGTGACACAGCTGGCCAGTAACAGAGCTGAGATTTAAACCTGGCTTTGTCCAGTGCTCCTGCAACACAGCTGGTCCCTTGGACAAAGCAAGCACAGGGTGAGGGGTGTCCCAGCCTGGGAGTGCCGCGTAGTGGACCCTCCTATTACATCCCAGTGTTCTTTCTCCACCTTCCAGATTTCTGCACCAGGAGATGAGGGTCGGTGGAGCCCTGGAATGGAGATGTCCTTGACACCTGAGCAGAAGCTGCAGCTGCAGGACCCTCTGGCCACTGGAGATAAGTAATGGTGCCATTTGCACACCTACTGGAAACGGGAAAGGAACAGTGAGTGACCCCAGGCCAGCACAGGCAGGTGCCAGGAGCCAGGATGCAAGGATGACGTCTCCGGAGGCCCTGGCCTCCCTCCCGCCTGGGCGCTAGGAGCCATCCCGGGGCTCCAGCCAGGAGCCCTGCTGCCCAGGGGCATGGCCAAACCTTTCTTCCGACTCCAGAAGTTTCTCCGCCGAACACAGTTCCTGCTGTTCTTCCTCACAGCTGCCTACCTGATGACCGGCAGCCTGCTGCTGCTGCAGCGGGCCCGAGTGGCCCTCCCACAGGGCCCCCGGGCACCTGGCCCCCTGCAGACCTTGCCAGTGGCCGCCGTGGCCCTGGGCGTGGGCTTGCTGGACAGCAGAGCGCTGCATGACCCTCGAGTCAGCCCAGAGCTGCTGCTGGGCGTGGACATGCTACAGAGCCCCCTGACCCGGCCCCGTCCCGGCCCCCGCTGGCTCCGGAGCCGCAACTCGGAGCTGCGTCAGCTGCGTCGTCGCTGGTTCCACCACTTCATGAGTGACTCCCAGGGACCGCCCGCCCTGGGCCCCGAGGCTCCCAGGCCCGCCATCCACAGCCGAGGTAGGCACTCAGCTGCATTTAGGGGAGCTGTTCCCAGGACCCCATTCAGGGTCACAGGTTTCGTGTCGTCTTTCTCTCTTTAAAATCGTAGCCTTCACCGCTAGATGGTTCTTTCCTTCTGCTCTGCGGGACAGGAAGGGGCCTGTGACGTGAAGTCCTTTAGGGTTTTGCTCACTCACCGGCTGGAATTCCACATGACTCAAGGCTGAGATGTTGTGAGCAGGTCACTTAGCACTCCGGCTTTGGATTCAGACAGACGTTGGCTGGAATCCTGGCCAACAATTTTTTTGTTTCTCAGGCGGTGGATCACCTGAGACCAGGAGTTCGAGACCAGCCTGGCCAACATGCTGAAACCTGTCTCTACTAAAAAATATAAAAATTAGCCAGGTGTGGTGGCACATGCCTATAATTCCAGCTACTTGGGAGGCTGAGGCAGGAGAATCCCTTGAACCCAGGAGGCAGAAGTTGCAGTGAGCCGAGATTGTGGCATTGCACTCCAGCCTGGGTGACAGAGCAAGACCCTGTCTCAAAAAATATATATAATAATAATAAAAATAAAAATATAACTGACGAGCAGAGGGGAGGGCTCAGCCCTGAGTGCAGAGCATGTATGTCTCAGGAAACCAGTGGCACCCCTTTACTTTAAGTTACCCCTAAAGACTTATAGAGGTGATGGAAGGGACTCCAGTAAAAGCAAGAGAGATTGTGGCTAGATATAAGCAGAACTGATATCCACATTTATATACCAGTATGGTCTTATCAGTTGTTAAAATAATTGCACTACTTCCAGGTTGGTTGGTAAATGGTTCCTGACCTGGGCCGCTGGGGTGCCTCTACACTCTGGCTACCTCCCCAGTGGCCCCCAGACCTCCCCCTTATCCAGCAAAGAGAGGGTTAATGTGATTCCAGTACCAAATGGTGGCAATTCCGAACGGTCAGTGCCCTCCATAGGTTGTCCAGTATTGTGAATGTGTGCCAGGATTGAAGGAAGAATTTGCTCTCCTTTGAACAGTATAAGAACCAGGTCTGGGGAGGCTGTGCCGTCATGGTCATCAGAGAATGGGGGAAGGCAGAGTGCTGACTTGCAAGCCCTCTGGGCCCCTTCCTGTCGTGGGGCTCCATGGGCCAAGCACAGCCAGTCGGGCCTCACTGGCGGAGAGCAGCCCGCGGCCCAGCCCTCGGGACAACTGCTGGGGCTGCAAACAAAGCGGGTGTCTCTCTGTGGCCCGGGCAGCCCGCCATCCTCCTGAAAGGGGATCCTGCAAGGCGCGGAAGCTGCAGGAGGCACCATCAATCACTGAGCATTTCATTATACCTTGGACAACATCCATAATGGAATAAAATGTCAGTAAGTTTACTAGGGGAAAAATAGTAACTTCTCCATAGCCAGTTTGTTTTTTATTGATAGTAATTTCCAAAGACATTCCAATATCTTCAAAGCCATCGTTAATAGCCTCACGGAGTGTCCATTTTGATGTGCAAATGAACAGATGCAGAGTCACAGACAATAAGGCGATGCCTCCATTTCAGCCGAAAGTAATAAATCCGCCTCAGAATGGGTCCCAGTGTATCCCTCGGAAGTTCTTTCTTTCCTGAACATTCTCGCCTCTGTCGGGGAGTTAGAAAAGCTGTTCGTTCTGCGTCCAGATAAAAGAGCTCGCCTCCTCCTCACAAACAGAGGGGCCGTCTGTGTCTCAGGCCCCTTGCTGCCCACTGAGACGGGGCCAGCCAGGTCCAGGCTCGCCCTCCATCAAATGGCCGGCTGGTCACAGGTGGACCATTCCTTGTTTCCAGAAGAACCAGAGCCTGACTGCTTGAAACAATTTTTTTTTCCCTCTCTTTTATTAACGTGTTAATTATTCAGCCAATATTTACTGATCCATCCATCACACATCCCAGGTTAGAGTGTAGGATCAGAATCATAATGGCTGTTACTTATTTGAACATCTGTTACGTGCCAAGCGTTGTATTGTATAGACATACATCTGTTATCTCATTTAATTTAATCTTCAAACAGCCTTATGATGTAAGTGGTGCTATCACTGTTTTAATGATGAAGAATTTGAGTTTCAGGGAAGAAAAGTATTTTAAATGTTTTCATTATTAATAGCAATATATTAACGGTAAAAACAATCGCTGCTGAGTAATGACTGCATGCCAAGCCTTGTATTAGACATTTCACATGTGTTACCTTATGGAATTTTCACAACTACCTCGTGGAATTGGAACCACATCCCCATTTTATAGATGGAGAAGTTGAGGCTCAGAGAGAGGCAGCCGCACATCCCAGGTGGCACAGCCAGATACTGGTGGAGCCTGTTCCCAAAGGCTGTTTCCATTCACTTCCCCAGAAGCTTGTGCAGCCTGGGAAGCACGTACAGCAACAGGCAGTCTCAGCCTGGGAAGGTCTTGAGCCCAAGCACCTTGAAAACCTTGTGGTTAATTTCCCATCTACAGTGATAAATGTTTAATAATCCTGAGCTTATGCTTTGGCTGTTTAATTGAAAGCTGAAACGGAACTTCTTTGCTGAGCAACCCATCACAAATTTCTCAAATATTAGTTTTCTTTTGCTAAGTAGGCAGGCGGAGGAGAAGGATTCATTCTCACTGACGTGGGTGAAAGCTCCGTGCAGTGGTCCATGCTGGTGGCGGTGGACCTGAGACTTACAGAAGGAGAGAGGTGCACGTGGGGCTGGATGTCTGGGCAGCGGGGGGCAGTAGCATGTGCCTGTGCGCATGGCCACATGTGCTGATGGGTGTCCCCAGATGAAGGTGACCTCAAGAGGCTCAGAGCCTGGCAGGGAGCCAGGCAAACATTGGAGAAGGTGGCTGTTGTTCCCTCCTCAGCCCTGGGGTTCTCTGGTCTGAGGGTCTCCCGGGTCCCTTGGGTCTTGGTGTGGTGGGGAGTCCTGTCTCCTGCCATCTTGCTTGTTCTCCTCTGATTTGCCTTAACCTAGGGCTCAGGATATTGCACCTTGGTGCACTCAGTAAGACCGTCCCCACCTTCGTATATATGTGTGTGTGTATATATATATGTGTGTGTATATATATATGTATTTATGTACTTCGTGCATTACTGCTAGTCCCCATGAATAATAAGTAGTACTATAATTGTTCATTCATATATATATATATATTCAGACAAAGTCTTGCTCTGTTGCCCAGGCTGGAGTGCAGTGGCATGATCCCGGCTCACTGGAACCTCCACCTCCCAGGTTCAAGTTATTCTCCTGCCTCAGCCTCCTGAGTAGCTGGGATTACAGGCATGCACCACCACTCCTAGATAATTTTTTGTATATATATATATTTTGTATTTTTAATAGAGACAAGGTCTCACCATGTTGGCCAGGATGGTCTCAAATTCCTGACCTCAAGTGATCCGCCTGCCTCGGTCCCCCAAAGTGCTGGGATTACAGGTGTAAGCCCCCACGCCTGACCCCAGCCTTTGTATTTAGGCTCTTGGCTCCTAACTTTGCACTCTCCAGGCATGTCAGCATAGTTTTTAGGAGCTGGAACCCACCGTTCACAGTCAGGCGCGGACGTTGACATTGCGCCTATCCCTGGTGAGTCACCGGGGGATCACCAGCTCTAGTAAAGGTGTGATTCCTGCCCTCTAGGAACCTTCAATCATGTTGCAGAGATAGGACGCACAGGTGTAAAAGATATATATTTGGAGATGGAGTCTTGCTCTGTCGCCAGGCTGGAGTGCAGTGGCACCATCTCGGCTCACCGCAACCTCTGCCTCCCAGGTTCCAGCAATTCTCTTGCCTCAGCCTCCCGAGTAGCTGGGACTATAGGCATGTGCTACCACACCAGGCTAATTTTTGTATTTTTAGTAGAAATGGGGTTTCACCATGTTGACCATGCTGGTCTCGAACTGCTGACCTCCGGTGATCCACTCACCTCAGCCTCCCAAAGTGCTGGGATTACAGGCACAAGCCACTGTACCCAGCCAGGTGTAAAATATTTTTGACTCCAACAGCTAATGGCAAGGGTATAGATGGTGGATGAGTTTTTCAAGCATAGCATATAAAAACCCAGAGAAAGGGGAGGCCACTGTGCGCTGGCATGGTCAGGGTCGGAGATGTAAGGCCTGAGGACAGGCAGGAAGCGAAGGGTAGGTAGGCGGGATGAGCAGTGACAGGCCCAAACCTGGAGGCCGGAGACATGAGCCTGAGCAAAGGGAGGCAGTGTGGGTGGGCACGTATGTGTTCGACAGGTGAGGAAACCGTGGCACAGAAGGTTGAAGTTATTTAGCGAGGGCAGAGGTGGAATTAAATGTGGCATTTACTGTCAGACAGAGTCTCACTCTGTCACGCAGGCTAGAGTGCAGTGGCACGATCCTGGCTCACTGCAACCTCCACCTCCCAGGTTCAAGTGATTCTCCTGCCTCAGCCTCTGGAGTAGCTGGGGTTACAGGTGTGTGCCACCACATCCAGCTATTTTTTTTTTTAATTTTTTTTATATTTAGTAGAGACAGGGTTTCACCATGTTGACCATGCTGGTCTTGAACTCCTGACCTCAAGTGATCCACCCGCCCCGGCCTCTCAAAATGCTGGGATTATAGGTGTGAGCCCGCGCCCAGCCCCCGCCTTTGTATTTCGGCTCTCTGCTAAATACAAATAAAAGTCACTCCTCGATTAGGGGCCAGAAGCGGATGGTTGGCAGGCTTCCTCCCCTAGGCCACTCAGTGGTGCCTTGGCTCCCCCAGCCGCTGCCCCAGACCAGGCTCTTGGCAGGAACAAAGACAGTCTCCGTTGCCCTCATGGAGCACCCAGGCCTGTGGACCATCGGGACTTTCCTCCTCCCCGAAAAGCCGCTTGGGCGCTGGCAGGCTGCTGGGAGGCCTTGGGCGTGTTACTTCCCAGAGGCAGCCTAATTTCTCTGGAGGCAGCGGCGCGCTCCCCAGATGACATGAATGAGCGGAACGCAGCCCTTCCTGCGGAGACGTGCGGTGTCTTTATCACAGGTGCCCGATCCAGATCTTGCGCAGCTATTGTGGGTGTGCGTTCACAGCTTGGGGGCCGTGTGACGGCATGTTTGCAGATTCCCACGCCGCTCCTTCAAAACACTGGTGCGCGTGACATTTACATGCCTACCCGCGTTCGCATCGGGACTGCCATCTCCGAGCTTCTCTGCGCATCTCTGGGAGATGTCTCCCTCCCTCGGGGTGGCAGGGCAGGGCTGTGAGAGACTCTCGCTGGTGCATGTGGGCACGGCTGGCCTCTCACTGCCACTGCAGCATGGGTGTCCCCGGCATCCCTTTCCCAGGTGACCAGCCTGGAGAGGCCTCTGCGGTCACTCGGCCCTGCTGTTTCCCACACAGGACGCTTTCTCCTACTCTTAACGGACTCTGCGGACACACTCCAGAGATGGGGCCTTACTCCCTCTTAGGATGACAGACTTTATCTTGAGATAGCTTGCCCCGTTTGAAAGCTCTTCCTTGAATTTGCTAAAATCAAACTTGCCCTAAGGGATTTCTTCTCTTTGGCCCACAAGGACCTTGTCTCTCAGGACACTTGCCAAGGTAGAGAGGCCGCTCTGAGCCCAGGGAGGGCAGGGCTGGAGAGGAGGGGTGGAGCCCATGAGAGGTAATCCAGCCTTCCCAACTTGTGAGTTGGGGGCAGTGGAAGAAAGCAGTGGTCAGGCTGACGCCAGGCTCCTGGCAGAGCTGTCTGGGTGGACAGTGGGCCATTAACTAAGAGAAAATGGGCAGGAAACAAACAAGAGGGAGGTGTCGGATGCTCCCTTGACTCAGCACTGAGGGGGAGGTTGCCTGCAGCTCTCATCCCCCGGGTTTCTCTGAGAAGTGGCCTTGGCCAGGAAGGGAGAGGTTCCCCTGGCTTTTCCTAAGGGTGGGCCCGTGATTCCTGGGCCTCTGGTGTCAGCCATGCTTCCGTTTCTGCAGGCACCTACATTGGATGCTTCAGTGATGATGGCCACGAGAGGACTCTGAAAGGAGCTGTGTTTTATGACTTGAGAAAGATGACTGTCTCCCACTGCCAGGATGCGTGTGCGGAGCGGTGAGTGCTGGGTCCTGGGCTGTTGATTCCACTGGGAGGAAGGTCCAGGGACAGTTCCAGAGTGACGAGGCATATCGGCTACCAGTTGGCTGTCATAGCATAATTAGAACGCACTGATCAGATCCCAGTTGTCCAGAAGAAAGAAAGTTTGTTGGCAGATGGCCTGGGTGCTGGATGCTGGGTGATGGCCTGGGTGCTAGATGCAGAGTGATGGCCTGGGTGCTGAGAGCTGGGTGATGGCCTGGTGCTGGGAGTTGGGTGCTGGATGCTGGGTGGTGGCCTGGGTGCTGAGAGCTGGGTGATGGCCCGGTGCTGGGAGTTGGGTGATGATCTGGGTGCTGGGAGCTTGGGTGCTGGTGCTGAGTGCAGGGAGATGCGACTTCCAGTCCAGCCATAGCAGGGACTCAGTGTGTGACTTTGGTGAGTTGTTTTCCTTCCCTGGGACTCCGTTTACTTATCTGTTTTACAATAAGATAAAGGGCTTTAACTGAGATTTCTCTGAGAAGATCTTTCCAGCTCTGGTAGGAAAAGTATTTTCACCTTGTGTGTATAACAAGGTTTACTATTTCTGATACTGCCAGCTCACCCAGTAGTTGCCAGACACTTATCATATGCCAGGGCAATGGTCCCTAATGTCAAGGCCCTCACAATTGACTCTGTGCGTGTGTGTGTGTGTGTGTGTGTGTGTGTGTACACATCTGAGAGAGGTGGGTTAAACAGAATCAGACTTCACTCTTCACTTATTTATCCCACAGATTTTTTTCACCTTTGTTATGTCATATAAATTCTTTCCACAGTCGGCTAGGTAGCAATGGGTTATCCCCATTTTACAGATGGAGAAACTGAGGCTGGGGAAAGAAAAGACAAGGTCCTTACAGAAACATACGTCATAGTCTAGATAAAGTGGAAACAGGATGATACATTCTCTTTTTAGTCTCCTAATAGATCAGGAAACTGAGACTCGGAGATGGTAAGTGACATTCAGCGTCTCACCGCTAGGATGTGGTCAAAGGGGGGCTTGAAGCTTGTGTTTGGATTTTCAGTCTGGGCTTTTCACATCAAGATCCACTGATTTGAAAGTGTTGACTGCTTTCTGTAGTTGGAGTCCTGTGTGATTCACTGTGGGTTCCATTTCCAACCTTTCTTTACCTACGGTGTTACAACTAGGTAAAAGTAAGTAGAGAAATGGCTGTGGAGATGGGGGCTGTGTATAACAAGACATGACATGTGGCAGGCAATTCAGACCAGCTCATGGCCACTCACCAGGGTAAACTGTTAAATTTTTAGAGTTGTTGTGAGCCCATTATAAAACCATTGGTAGCTTAAAATCTTCTAGAGTGGGAGTGTTTACACCACAGAAATTGGCAAACAGTACAAACCAGAGCTCTCCCAGTCACATACTGAGAACCAGTTTACAGGCATATCACAGATTTAGACCCATTATAACCTGTGACCATGGCACCCTGCAGGGCAGAACTCAGGGTTGGCGAGAGGGAGCAGTGGGGCTGGTTCCATTAGTTTATCACAAAGGAAAGACTGTTCCCTGAACTTAGCCAGGTGACCCTTGAGTGTGGCTGGAGACTGATTCCTAAGGCCAGCCATAGGCTGACAGCTGTAGCCCCTGTCTGCCTGTTCACCCAGACCCAAACTCAGCTTCAAGTCCAGCCCATATCCCGACTCCAGACCCAGCTGCCATTGCATGACCATGTAAATCCTCTCCACAGTCTGCCAGGTAGCAATGAGTTATCCCTCTTAAACAGATGGAGAATCTGAGGCAGGAGAAAGAAGAGACAAGGTCCTTGCTTAAACATACTTTCTAGTCTAGATCAAGCTGAAACAGCCTGCAGTTTAGACCCCAGCCCTAGCTCTGGGCCAAGGTCTGGACTCACCCAGGCCCTGTCTCCCTTCAGGTCCTATGTCTACGCCGGCTTGGAGGCCGGGGCGGAGTGTTACTGCGGGAACCGGCTGCCAGCGACGAGCGTCAGGCTGGAAGAGTGTAGCCATGAGTGCAAAGGCGAGAAGGGCTCTGTGTGTGGCGCTGTGGACCGGCTCTCCGTGTACCGTGTAGACGAGCTGCAGCCAGGCTCCAGGAAGCGTGAGTAGGCCAGCCTCTCTCTGAACCCTGTCCATCCCACTCCCTCCGGCTGCCCGTCTCCCACAGCCTCTCATTCCAAACTACCTGGGGCAGAACCTGTGCCAGCCTCTGCCCTCCCTTCCCTATTGCCATCACTGGACAGGCTCCTGGCAGGGCGGGGATGGGGCTAGGGTCCATCAAAGGCTTAATTGCTTGAGTTCCTCACTGAAGCATACCTTTGCTTGTCCCCTGCAGGAGAGAGAGACTGATTGGGAGGCCTGAGTGTGCCTCAGACATGCTGTGTGGCCTCCGGCAGCTTACTGCCCCTCTCTGAGCTATAGTCTATTTTGTAAATTGCAGAGGGAGACCTATATTTCTTTCTTTTTTAAAAATTTTTATATTTTATTTTTTATTTTTGAGATAGAGTCTCACTCTGTCACCCAGGCCAGGCTAGAGTGCAGTGCCGTGATTTCGGCTCACTGCAACCTCCACCTCTCAGGTTCAAGCAATTCTCCCGCTTCAGCCTCCCGAGGAGCTGGGATTACAGGCACCCGCCACCACACCCGGCTACTGTTTTTTGTATTTTTAGTAGAGACGGGGTTTCACCATGTTGGCCAGGCTGGTCTTGAATTACTGACCTCAGGTGATCTGCCTGACTTAGCCTCCCAAAGGGCTGGGATTGCAGGCGTGAGCCACGCACCCAGCCGGGAGACCTAGATTTCTAGCAATGGTGTGAGCCAGACAATCAGAAAATTCCCTAACTATAAAGCACCTAGAAATGCTGCAGAACATTTAGCAAACATTATTGTAAATGCATAGCTGAACTAGCAGGAAAGTAAGACAATCCCTTGGATCCGGAAATGAAGGACAAAGAGCCACAGTGGAGAGAGGTACAGATATGCTGTGTGGCCCTGGGGCTCAGCAGAGGGAAGCCGCCAGGCTGGGTGGCCACTCAGTTTAGATCTTAACGTCTAAGCAGGATAGGGAAGGAGGCCTTGGGCTTCTCAGGGCAAGAAATTGGATTGAAACTTCTGTATACAGTGGGATTCAATTTCACTGAAATGTAAATCAGCGAAAGTTTAGATTAAAAAAAAAATATCTCCCACCCATTCAGAGAGTTAGAACAAAGCTTGTCTGTCTTGACCTGAGTTCAGGTGAAGATAAACGTCTTCCTAAGAATTTGTAACCACCGCACAGGCTTGCATTTGTATGCATTTGGGAGTTCGAATGTATATGATCTGCCTGAAAGTTTCAACATGAAAGTTGGCTCTGGGTCACCTGGAGGTTCTGGTGGAGCCAAATGCAGTGTCCCCTTGAGAGCTGTGCCACTAACCCAAGCACAGGGGTGCCCAGCGGCGAATTCTCACTGAGTGCTGGGTTCAAAGTGGTGGAACTCAGGAGGAAACAGTCAACCAAGCTGACACGTCAGGCAGCAAGATTGGACTCCAAGGAATTTCAGTGCAAAGGGCTAGCAAATAGAGATGGCCCTGAAGGGGCCCAACTCAAAGGAGGAGTTGGAAACTCAGATTTGTCCTCACTGCAAGATGATGAGCACAAATCCACTTCCTCTAATCACAGAAGGCTCCTTGATAAAATAATAGGGCTGTGCACCGTTGCACATGCTGGGGACCATTCTTTTCATGGTTGGGAGAGGTGGGTTGGGAAGGAGTCAGAGCCTGGGAGACCACCCCCACCACTGGCAAGGGTAGGGCAGCGGTGATGGACGCAGAGGCACAGCCCTGGGTCCAGGCTTGCTGACTCATGGACACAACCGCCTCTGGTCATGCCCTAGTAACAGGGCTCCAGGAGAGCTGATGGATTAGTTCAAGAATGGGGCAGAGCCCAGGTAAAGAGGTATGGGATCAGCTGGGCGTGGTGGCTCATGCCTGTAATCCCAGCACTTTGGGAGGCCAAGGTGGGCAGATCACGAGGTCAGGAGTTCAAGACCAGCCTGACCAACATGGTGAAACCCCGTCTCTACTAAAAATACAAAAATTAGCTGGACGTGGTGGCGGGTGCTTATAATCCCAGCTACTGAGGAGGCTGAGGTGGGAGAGTCGCTTGAACATGGGAGACGGAGGTTGCAGTGAGCCGAGATCACGCCATTGTACTCCAGCCTGGGTGACAGAGTGAGACTCTGTCTCACACAGACACACACACACACACACACACACAACACACACACACACACACACAGAGGTGTTGGATCAAAAGCTAAGGCTTCACAGGGGTTCTGGGACGGCTGTCCTAGCAGGGAATGGGTTTTCCAAGCAGCACAAAAGCCGAGCCCTGATAACTGTGGCTGAACCTAAAAGCCACCCGGGCTGGCAGCTATCTGTGGGGTCCCAGTGCCAGGGAGAGCTGCTCCGTGTTTGACCCCAGCTGACCGGTGCTTCTTAGGTGCCTCTTGCATTCAAACAGGATGTGTCTGGGAGCTCAGGGTTCCAGATGGGGCAAATGGGGACAGGGGTGGAGAAACTGACAACACACCGTTTAGCTTACAGGTTCACCAGTGACACCATTAACTCGACAGTTTCTCATCGACACCTACTCTGCCAGGCTCTGACCTCACCCAGAGGTTCGCCATGGCACACGGGCAGAGTCCTGTCCTGCCACTTGGACATCCAAATGGGCTTCCTGAAGACCAAACTGCTCCACGCTGGCTTCTTGGAGCTTTTATTTCTTTGGTTTCAAACAACATTCCTGCCCCCAAGTAAGACCAATTCTATATGTGGACTCCTGGTGGCCCTCCCAGCCCCACCTGCCTGCCTAGTCATTGGTTCTGAGAGGCAGTTGTTTTGCTTTAGGTCACCCATGGATTAAGAGACAGATGGTCCAATCATTCAAGCCAGCCCTAGATCTGGAGTTGGCTGGACTTGCTGTCATGGTTAGTGTTGAAGATGGTGTCCTAGCTGCCCCTGTGGGCAGGCTGTGGAGCGCCCTGTGAGGTACCCTTGCCTTCCTGCCCCCTTCTTGAGGGGAGGAACTGACAGGATCAAGAGGTGACCAGGTGACCACCATTGTGAGCTGCAGCTTCTGCCAGCAAGGAACATTCACAAGGAGTAAGACCCATGAATGTGCTCCCCAGATTGGAATCAGAGTGGGTTCTGAGCAAGTCATCAACGTCTTCGCCTTGGAGGCATCATTCTGCCCCAAGTGGCCCTCAGGCTCCCTCCTGGGAAGTGAGGGAGACCGGACTGTACCAGGTGACAACCTGTGTCCTGAGAGTTGCATCAGAGGCAGCCAAGGCTTCCTTCTTTAGCGGCTCACGGATCGCTCACCTGTTGCAGTATACGCAGTGCCTTCCTGCTTTATCTCATTCAGTTCATTCATTCGCTCAGCACATAGTGGGTGCCTGCTGTGTGTCGGGATCGGGGCTGGGTGTGGAGAACACAGGGGTCACCCAGGATGTAGCCTCCCCTCAGGAGCTGTGTTCTGGAGGCCCCGTGGCCCCCTTTTGTCCCTCCCTGTGGCCCGGGGCTTGCTGGAATCTTGATCCCTCCCCCATCTCTGGATCATGCCTGCCCTGCTGACTCTCCCCATTGTCTCTTCTACCCCTGTGGAGCTGGTTGAGGACCAGTGCCCAGTCCATTGCAATGTTTGTTCTTTGAGGCTCCAATCATGCCAAAGAACAGGAAAGAGTTTTGTGAGCCCAGCACCTGCCACCACCCTCGACCTTGACACCAAAAGCCAGGGCAGAAACATGGTAGTGGGGAGATGCGGCCCCATCAGGGGATATGCGTGGGTATACATTGTTCCTCATGACCACCCTAGGAGCTACGCTGTATGTAGCTGAGGAAATTGAGAGTCTGAGCGCGAGACATGGCACAGTTGCAGAGCTAGTCACTGGCAGTGCAAGGACTTGAACCTAAGCACTTATGACCCTAAGCCCTGGTGTTTTCCTCACACTAGGCTGGTGTCTGTGCCCTAATAGGTCGTGCCCTGACACGTGGACCTCAGGTGCTGTGGTCAGTTGAGATGGGCTTCCAGATCCAGGGTTTGGTCCTACTTGGCGGATTCTGGCTGGTGAGACGGTTTCTGCTTGCACCACGTGGTGTGGCAGCTAGAGAGCCGGGGGAGATGCTCAGCCCTGGGAGACCCCGTGTGGCGAGGAGCATGGGGTAAGAATCAGGATGCCGTCTAGAGAAACCCTGACAAGTCTGGAAGAAATAGGAGCAGTTGATGCAAGAACATTCCAGAAAGTTCGTTCAGCTCCGAGGAAGCCAGCTAGGGCACAGGACGTTTCCACCTGGAGGTTCTACAGAGCAGCAGGAGGCTTGGCGGGAGGCTTCTTTGTAACATGGGCTTGAGGAGTGTTCCTAGAAATTGAGTGGGAGTTCGAGATCAGAGAGAGGCAAACCTTGCACAGAGGCAAAGCAGTGGGATGACTCCAATGGCACAGCAAGAGCAAACCTGGCCGGGTTTCAGATTTCCATGTCTGCTTTTCTTTTAATGCATCTTCTGGGAAGACATCGGATTTTTCACAGGATCAGCCTGTCAGGTCACCTACCATGGAAGGAATCTGGCACCTAGTAACTGCACCATCCAAATTTGTTGAAGGAAAGGAAGGAAGGAAGGAAGGAAGGAAGGAAGGAAGGAAGGAGGAGGAGGAGAGGGAGGGAGGGAGGGAGGGAAGGAAGGAAAGAGGAGGGGAGGGAAGGAGGAAGGAAGGAAGCAAGGAAGGAAGGAAAGAAGAAGGGCATTATGGAGAATTGACAGAAGCAAGAGAAGGAAGGAGGGAGGAGGGAAGGAGGAGGAAGGAAGGAAGGAAGGGAGGGAGGAAGGGCATTATGGAGATTGACAGAAGTAAGAGAAGGAAGGAAGGAGGCAGGGAGGGAGGGAAGGATAGGGAAGGAAGGAAAGAAGGAAGGGCATTATGGAGAATTGACAGAAGTAAGAGAAGGAAGGAAGGAAGGAAGGCATGCATGCATTAGGAGAACTGGCAGAAGCAAGAGAGGAAAGGAAGGAAGGGAGGGAGGGAGGGAGAAAGGAGGGAGGGAAGGAGGGAGGGAGGAAGGGAGGAAGGAATGACTTACGGAGAACTGACAGAAGCAAGAGCTGAGCGCTGCAGTTTCAGCCACGTGGTCCCTTGTAGGTGACCCTGGACAGTCAAGGTCCTGATGCCTGGTTTCTCTTAGGAGCTCAGCATGACTATGTCCCACCCAGCGCCGTTTTCCCTCCCTGATTTGAAATCTGCGCCTCCTCAGTTTGTTTATACCTGTCTCGGGACCTAAAGCCAGCATTTTCCCTGGTGCCAGGCACCAACAACTGGACACCGTCTCTTACCAGAAACCCCTCTCTTTCCCCGCAGGGCGGACTGCCACCTACCGCGGGTGCTTCCGACTGCCAGAGAACATGACACACGCCTTCCCCAGCTCCCTGATACAAGCCAATGTGACCGTGGAGACTTGCTCGGGCTTTTGTTCCCAGAAAGTAAGACCAAATGATCATTTCACAAGCCTTTCCTTTAAGTGTGTGTGGTGGTCCCAAGAGACGCAGACGCCTGTGCTGGGCTGCGGGTGTCCACTCTGGCAGTCCAGATGGGAGCAGAGGATGGGGACATGGGTGGGAGGCAGGCATACAGCAGGTGCCACAGAGGGAACCGGCAGGGAGCCCTTCGCCTCTGTCCGCCATGTGAGGCTGGGTGGGGAATTGTCAGCAAGGCGGACGGAAGGAGCCGAAAGTAGAGTGCCTTTCTGGATGCCAACTCTTGGCACAAGTGTCAGATGTTAAATTGACTTGGTTTGGAAGCCAGAAGATGCTGGCTCGGGACTTGGGGATAGCTGATGGATTTTCTGTTATTGGTGCTGACAGTGTTGGACTGTGAATCTGATGACAGGGGCTGGAGCCACACTTGCATCGTTGGTTCAGGCTGAGCTGAGGAGTAGAGCATGACCCCGTGGAGGGGCGGGGCTAGGCACCGAAGGCCACGGACCCTGCATTGCATGCCAGCTCTGGGGTGGGGAAAGTTGGTCAAGGCCAGAGGGGGCTTGCGGAAAGCAGGGCCAGGAGTGTGTGAAGCAAGGCTGGGGAGACCCAGCAGACTCTGTCCAAGGAACTCTGAGATCTCAGGCTGCAGTCCAGCAGACTCCAGATTGGGGCGGATGCTGTGGCTCTAGAAATGGCCTTCTGTGGCAGTAGGCTTGGTGCTGGGGCTGTTTCACATATGCTGGGGTTGCAGTACCCTCAATGTGGCTTTGGTACTTGGCAATGTAGCAGAACAGGGCTAAGGCAAGAGGAGGGCTAAGGCGAGAGGATGACCTTGGCCAGGATGATGATGACAATGATGACAATCGACAGAAACTGCCATTCTTTTTTTTTTTTTTTTTTTTTTTTTTTTTGAGACAGAGTCTCTTTCTGTCGCCCAGGCTGGAGTGCAGTGGCACGATCTCAGCTCACTGCAAGTTCCACCTCCCAAGTTCACACCATTCTCCTGCCTCAGCCTCCTGAGTAGCTGGGACTACAGGCACCTGCCACCACACCTGGCTTATTTTTTGTATTTTGAGTAGAGACAGGGTTTCACCGTGTTTAGCCAGGATGGTCTCGATCTCCTGACCTCGTCATCCGCCCTCCTTGGCCTCCCAAAGTGCTGGGATTACAGATGTGAGCCACTGCGCCCAGCCCATAGGACACGATTTTTTGACTTGATGTTTTACTGTTTTTTAGCTTGATGTTTTACTACTTTTAAAAATATTTTCTTGTATCATAGTAAATGTTTTCCTAATGCTCCTGCTGGTGGCCGGTATCATATTTTTCCATCTGTTCTTTTTCTTTATTTTTTTCTTTATTATTTATTTATGTTTTTTTAGCCTTCCTATATTTGCTACCCAACAACAACAACATAATAACTTCTGTTTTCTCCTCACCAAAAGCAGAGGTATTCCTTTACTTCTTGGTCTGAATATGGTACAGTCAATCCCCTTATATGCAACTCTTCCACATTCACTCAGAGCTACTGTCTCATACACAGGTAAGTTGTGTCTTCTGAGACCTGGACAGTAGGGGTTCTGACCGAGTACCCTGCTTGGGCCTCCTTTAACTATGTTTCTCACCCATGGAGTCAAACAAGGCTAAAAGATTCTGCCAGTAACGAAACAAGCTACTTTTAGATTCAGATAGTTTATTACAAACATAGAGAGCGAAAACAAGATGATCAAAGGTACCAGCCCCCACTTGTCTTCCAGGACAATATTGACATGAAAGGGACTGGTGATATGACTAAGTCACATGAGTATTAGAACACCCTTTGCTGACGTGCTGCTTCCAGGCTGCAACCAAGCATTTCGCTAGCCTACAGCTGTACCCTAAAAGAAGGGTAGGGGAAAGAGGGCTTCATACCTCAGGAGAACCAAAGAGATGAGAAATTGCCTCATGACAACACCCCTGAAAGATAAGGACATGGGAGATAAATTGCTTTGTAGCATCTCCTCACAAGCCTCCTCATGGTTTGGGGGAATCACAGGGTGTTCTAACAGAACTTAGACTAGCTGGGGTTAACCCTTGCCTACATGGCCTCTGTGAAGATGTACAAGGTTACCAGAGTTCCATGGCAGAGTGATTTCCGTATAATGGAGTGGAGCCTATCTGGATTCCACATTCCCCCTACATCAAGATTAAGCTCTCTGGGTACCTGGACCTGGTATTCTCTGTCTAAAAGGCTTCATGCCTGCTTCTACCTCCTGTGTGAGCCTTTTTCCTAGGTAGATCATTCCCAGTTAGACTGCATGCTGGTATGCACATCCTAATTCTAAAGGGGTGGCTGGAGTGTTACGTTTG